TCGCGGAAGGCGCCTCGATCAACCTCGAGGCGATGGCGATGTCGATCTCTCGAAACCAGCGATTCAGCGAAAGTCGATCTCCTCCGGCACCGGAGTAGGTGGACGTCTCTAGTTTCACGACGTCATTCGTGGAGATACGCGAGGAAGTTGACACTCGCCGATTCGCATCGGCGAGCTCGCGTTCCATGAATTCTTGTGCCGCAAGCCGCTGCTCGTCGGGCGTCGCTGAGCGCAGCAGCGACGTGACGACGGCTTCTCCGGGACACCGCCGCAAGGCGGTGGAGAGCTTCCCACTCGATCCGAGTGAGATGGAGAAAGGCAGCGTGGTCGAGGTCTTGGCTCATGTCGAACTTGGTCGTTGGAAGGACTACAAAGTGCTACCAGGTGTAACGGGCCAGGTATTTACTCCGTTACTTGCTTACACTATAGTGTTGAGGAAGCTCGCAATAGGACGACTGAGTCTTAGGTTTAAGGAAAAATCAACTCTGACTTTATTTTAGGACCAAGGCCACAGCCCTGGCCACTCAAATACACGTCATAGTCCAATTGGCTAATAATGGGTCTGGCTCCCCATATATCAGCCAATGGCATGACAGCATTTCAGCACACGCTAGTCGTGTGCTGATGCACCTACTTTTGTAAAGAAATCTACCTACTTATGTAATGGAGGGGCCCATTACAGACGCTAGTTGTGCGTCGTTTAAACGACACAGCGGGCACAACCAAGTGTGCTGAGCCTCACGGTAACGTCCAATACGGTGCCTACTCTACAGCGGCACTGCACGAAGAACTTCGAGCCAAAGGTTTCCAGCGAAGGTATCTCAATCACAGGGCGCCATGCAGCTGCAGCAAGAGACGTGTTTTAGGAAGATGGCCCGCATTAAATAAAAGCGTCTAATGATCATCGGTAGAGCATTGGGCCAGAAGAAAGGAACGTGGCATCGTATTGTCAGGGCTTTGGTGCATGACACACACAACACTATCGACTCAGAAAAATTTGTCTACAAGACAAACACTGAGGAGGGATTGCGCCTTTTAGTTTGCCGAGGCCGATGGTGTTTATACCATCGAGGAAATTGATCAGGCAAAACAAAATTTCTTTTACTCATTATTTTATATAATGCTTCTTTAATATTGCGAAGAAAACACACATTATAACTCATAATTGTATATTGTCATTTTAGTAACACCACGGTCCAGCTCAATGCTAAGCAGTACAGGACAATGCGACTTAGATATTGTTTTCAACGTCGATCTTGGGACTGGGACTACCAGAGTAATTGGAAAAAATATTAACCCCGAATGCGCTAGTATTAAAACTCTACTTACACGAAAATAGGTATTTGGTTTTGCGTGGGCGGGATCCGTGATCCCTTCCGTCGCAGCACGAGCCCGATGCAATTCTATCAGCTTAATCAACTTGTAGTACTTTTGCAGTTGCATAAGCCGGAAACCCGCTCTTGCGTATAGTACCTCGCGCCTGAAAATATTTTAGCAAGTTTGCTTCCGCTTCCTGTCCAACTCGAAGCACCAGATCGCTGTATGTCGCTGTGGACGGGTCGAGATGAAACCCACTAGCTTCATGTAGTTCACAATTTACTTGTAGGCAGACTTCTTGTGGCGATCTCCACACACTTCCCAGAGCCTGGGGCCTTCGCGTACCACTCAAAAAAAATGGCGGCTGGGCCTTTGCGAAGCGCCTTACTCCCACACGTCTTGGACTGGACAGGGATCTCCGAACGTACTACGTCTGGGTGTGCTGAAGTGACCGATGGGCTCGAAGGTGCTACCTCCTGACTGACATCACCCGCACTCGGTCGGTCAAAGACCGGTTCATCGCAATCAGCTCGCCAATAATGCGATTCTGATGGTTGATAAGCTTCTCTAGCCTATGTAACTTTTATTCTTCCCCCTCCTTCCACTCGACGTCCTTCCATGTGACCATGCCTTGCAGCTCCAAGCTCCACGCTAGTTGTGACAACCCTAGTGCCATTAGGCCTTCCCGTATTCTAATGGCGTACAGGCACATCGAATAGCACTCGAGTACATCTGGAAAATGTTGGATCAATGACGCAACCAGAACTTGAGCCACTCGTCCGCTCAGATTCTTCTCTGCATCTTGAGGGCTGAACTAACAGATTTCCCAATTCCAGTGCTTGCCCTCGGCTCGCGAAGTCAAACTAGGAAAGTGCGGGAACAGGCGGATTTTTGCTGGACTTCCACCCGCTGGGTACTCGAGCTACCTTTTGATATTCACTTGTTGTGCTGAACACGTATGCGAACGCCTTGTTTGTTGTCGCTATGCTCCATGACTCTCTGTTTAAAATACATTGGGCACTGAGTAGTGGGTCGCTGCTGGCATGTTGGACCCCACCACGCCGAGATGAGTGAGACGTAAAATTTCCAGTGGGTTTTGCTTTGGCTTGGGCAGTCGATGTGGGCTTGACAAGACGATTCACATAAGCATGAATCGTCATGTTATCCTCAGGTACCTTGCGTTTCTTTTGCGGGGCTCTGCCACAACACCATCG